GTCTCTCTCCAGGATAGGTCAAGACATAGCACAGAAGACTACTTATACACATTTTCAAGAGATACACTGCAATTTTGACTGGACAAAATTTCAGTCTCTAATACTCTATATTATTATATTATTTATAATTATTCTCCATCTAAGGGTCCAAGAAGCATAAGACTCTCCAGCCTAAGAGGAGGGAAGAAAAGGGTAAGACCTCATACATAGTGAAGGCAAAATTTTAAGTTTCTTCCTTGATGTTCCTTCACTCAAAAAGCAGATCAGAAAGATGGCGGCTTACAGGACGTGAACGTAAAGGCCAACTCTAGGATACTAGGTTATAGCTCTATGAATTTTTAAATGTGGACAAGACCACATCCTAAGGGTGCTTGAAAGTAATGCAGTCTTTACCAGGTATTTCTGCGAGAAACAGACTTGTTTGAATGGTATAAATCTAATCTAATGTAAGACATGCACCTTCACAATTTGTTTGGCTGATTAGCTGACCTCTAAATAAAAAGATATTAATAGCTTGTTCAATTTCTTCATGTCCTCTTCAGAGATAGTAATTAAGTGCTGAGAAACATTATGTGGGGCTCTCTCAGAATCTGTATGTAGTTCAAAGGTCTTTTACTGATAGAAACCAGTCTCATTTCAAAGTTATCTGGATAAAGAGATTGTTTTATTTAGGAAGTTCAGAGACGACCGGAGTAGAACAAAAGGATATAAACTCTTCTTATCCTAGAGCGATAGATCTCTTGAACACTACATTCAAACCTCTTTCTAGGTAAGGTCCCCAAAAAAAATGCACTTCCTAGTTCCTTTTGACAAGGCAGATATGGCTGTAGAAACCATGGCCTTGTGATGATTGATATTCATTATAGTCATTTCAGGGTATTCTCTCTCTTTTTATTTTTTTTTTAAACAGGAGTTTCTAAAGTAGTCTTGTGAGAAGTTGATTTGCCTCAAGTCCACATATCCTCAATAGCACCATATTAATCTCAGGCCTATGGCTCTTTAAACATAGTGGTAAGTACTTTTTTCTAGTTATAGTGTGTTTTGGGGGCACAAGAATAGTTAATGCCTGGGAGCGAAGGCACAACTACCCCTCACTTTTGAGATGATGTGCTGTGGAGAGCAAACTTTTTTTTAAAGTAGCCTGGGATCTGAGTTTTAACATCTTGTCCTTTCCAATTCTTGCACAGCAATTCTGGTAAGAACTCATATACCAGAAGTGTTCAACACCCTGCTCCTATTTCAGGTTCTCCCTTGAGCTTTTGACCCACTGATCCAAATTTCCAGCTTCCTCACTGCTCTTTCCTCCCACTTCCTCGGGGCAATCCTCCTACATTTCACAACGAGCCCTACTACTGGGGTTCTCCATTCATTTGCCTACTGAGCCTTATTCTTTAGATCCATCCAGTGCATGATTTTTTTGAAGTGGCATTTCCCCTTAGCCTGTGGCTAAACCTGTATATGCATATCAATGTTACCTTTAATGCTTAATTTAGTTTTTACATTTTTAAATAGTTACAAAGAAAAAACTGTGTATTATGGTTTCAGTATATACTATTTGGCATCAATACAATGTTCAAATTTGTTTTTAATAGGAAGTTTACAATTATGGTACTAAAAGGGTCTGACGCTTTTCAATTAAACTGGTATTGACACAAAGCAAAATCCTGAGGGCACAAATGGGAGCGCTAATCTAAACTCATAGTAAGTATTCAAGCAGTACTGGCCAAAATCATGAACATTCTCATGAGATTAAAAACAAAATTAATGTTTCACTAACTAGATTCTTCCTAGCTAAAGTTCTGAAATACTGTTCAGCGAGCCTCAATCGACGCACTTATGAGCGTAAATAGAGATGCAAATGAGATATTTTAAAATTCACTATTATCCTCTTACTGGAGAACGTGTGCACAATTCCATGCACTCATTATAGATTTGTCTCCTTTCTTTTCCTAGTGCACACACACACACACACCCACCCACATGTATACTTACACATTAACTTTCTAAAATAACATTGTGTACATAGCTCTATAAAGAAAAATATAGACACAGATTTTAGTCCCTTTCATCCAAGTGTCTTCCATTCTTTAATAGCCCCTTAGTGTGAATACTGATGGCAGGTCTCAGCAATAATGTTATTTCTACACCCATACTCTAGAGAATGCAAATTACAACGGGAAGAGTGGGCTGGCTCATCTCTGGCCCCTGACTATTATATACTCAGAAGCAACTGCCCATGAGAAAGAGTCCCATCTTCCCTCTGCTTTCGGAGCCAGGTCTGCTCAGCCCAGCTGAGCATCAAATCTTGGTTCTCAGACAACTGAATCATTAACAATACAGTCAAGTTTAAACTTAATTATAGATCATTTAAACCAAATAATCCAGATATATACAAAAGTGCTACAAAAAATAAGCCGCATGCAAACGTTTTGTTAAAGAAGTCAAAATAATAATTGTTTTAACACTAGAATTATGATCTGGACATACTGCTCTCTTACACGTTTTGATAAACTTAACAACAATGCTATTAGTCAACATGCAGACACAGGATGTGTACTTAACATGTTACTTCCATTCACATGACCATTAGTACACACACTTCAGTGAGTTCAACACAAATTGAAAGAACATATATCTACAGTGCACCAAGGGAGTCAGTATTTTCATTCAGAGGAGAGTTCAGCTATGAAAGATAAGCAGTGATGCTCGTGCAAAGACAATAGTAAGACCTGAAAAGGATCTTCCATAAAGAGGACAAGTTGAAGTAGTCTGTCCCTATGCACATATATGAATTATCCCTAAGAGAGCCACTGACACCAAGCCTTTTTTAATTAAAGAAAAGCGATTTGTATGCTAATATTGTTTTCTTAGAAAAGGAGTGGTTATGGATCAGACTCTGTACACTGTTGTGAATGATCTTAAGCCTTTTGAATAAATATTTGAGACTGAATTTTCCCCACCATAAACACTATAAATGTATACAAGAGCTGGGTTTAAGAATAAGAGTAACCTTCAATCAAGTCTTTTCACAAACTGCTGTGCAAGAAATCTTTGAAGTGTACAGAAGCAAAACGGCCACTGTCAGCATGTCCACCTCAGCGCTAAAGACTTTCAGATAGGTACTCAATAGCTAACATGCTTTTTAAAATTTAGTCTATGGATCACCAAGGCTCAAATTTCAGTGCATTATTGCAGGTCTGGCAACCCATTGCCACTCCTTTAGAATTCCAAATCATACACTGTACAAGGTAAAATATTATGAGCAAAAACATAGTTGTAGAGTGTTCGTAGGACAACGAACTACGGAGATCAGAGGGCAACACGTAGAAGACACAGTAGAAGATGCAGTTGACCATTCAAGAGCTGTGGTCATGAGGTTTCAATTAGGCCCCCTGTTTCCGATCACAGAAAGACCAACCACCATACAGTTAGTGCAAGGACCACAAAAAGGGACATCATAAAGGGAATGCGTGGAGAAGGAAAAGTACTAGAGTACAGGTGGCACTTTTTGAGTGATTTCTGCTCCTCGGGAATTGGAATAGAAACCTTTGGAAGAATGTCTTCTTTTGCTTGCTGGGGCACTGCTGTCTCAGTAGGCATCTGCTTTTTTATTTTGTCTTCATCCTGTACTAACAGAGGACGTTCCTGTGTCTGCTTTCGTGGTAGAAGATCAAGAAAGACAGAGAGATGAACAAAAATGACAGATGGGAAGTGCTCAAAATGGTACTTAGGGATGTACAAAGTGTTAGGACAGGTCTTCCAGAGGCTCTGATCAATATTTTATTACTAAATTGGCAAACTGCTGTGAAGGACAAATTCTGTGGAGGCTCAATCAGGATAGAAGCACTTCAGCAATATCCTATAACTTAGCTTCTGAGTATGACCATCTTCATAGAATCCACTAATCTTAGGGCCATGTTCATGTGTGTTCACAATTTCCCTTTGAGAGAAGGATAATTTAAAATCTAGTACTTAAGTGTTCCACAATTGAAGTTGCTGAGAAAAGTTTATTTTGTTGTATTACAAATAGAAATGGTAGTATAAAAAATGCAATCTTTTACAACTTCCTATACTATACTGGCCTTAAAAGTGACATTAGTTCGTAAGGTTTGACACCTAGATTTTAATGCAGATGATAAAATCTTGTTTTGAAAGTTTTGAAGATTTTGCAAATGAAGATAGTATCAAAATTTCCATTTTCAAAATGATATTGTAGTTATGAATGCAAAATATTCAATCCCTTAGAAATCAGGAGTGTGGAACATGAATGTTTTTAGTAGTAACATTCCAAACTCTCTGGATTTTGTTTTACATTTTAGTGCATCTGAGTCTTCAGAATCTAAAGAATGTGAAATTATAATGAACACAGTATCATACAAATGCTTTAGCACTTGTGAAAATTGTTTGGGGAAATTTTATTGCAGTTTACTCAAGAAATGCTTTCCATCCTTTCAGCTGGCCAAGCATGGTCAACCCCGGTAAATCTACGAAAGAAAAAATTTGGCCCTAAGCTCTCTCAGTTGATCCAACCTCCTTTGATCAGTCTTGTGTTTTGGGACTGGTTCTTTGCACACCCCTAAGTGATGAGTATCAGGGAGAAAGTAGCTGGGGGACTGGGCAGCAAAAGAAATAAAATAAAATGCAAGAGTAACATGATTATTAAAACAAAACAAAACGGAAAAGAAAGGAAAGGAAGACAACATAAAAAGAACAGGGTATAGTTAAACTTTCAGAATTGTTTTTCTTTCCGAATACACGGTTACATCTTCATGCAGCTTTTCAACCAGCCATGCGCCGAAATAAGCAAACTGAAAGCTGCAAAAGCTGCAGCAGTGCAAATCCTTTAAGGTGTTAGGTCAGGAGGCTGTGAGATATGAAACTACTTAATGTTGCCAAAAAAAAAAAAAAATAGGTTACTCAGCAGCTGCTGTTGAGTTTTTGCTTAGTGCCATTACAATAGCAAAATTCTGGTTCAGAAGCACATATAACAGCAGCTTTACCTCTGGCCCACCAACCCTTCTTTCAGAGGATAGGAGATTGGCTTTCTTGACCTGGACATACACAAAGTGTGTAAAGTTCAGTTGTCTTGTAATGTAAGATATAGGAATAGTAGAAAGATAACCCCATATAGAATGCCGTGACTTTTGCAACAACAGCATAATGGTACATCAGCAAAAAGAATATTACATTCAAATTTATCTTCCTTATACATTTGATAATAACGTGAAGGCAAACTAAAACACTGTCCATGTGCCTTCCTGCAGGTGTCTCAGGTTATGATCATAAATCACCTTCACTGAAATGCTGTTTTCAGAAGGATCATGTCACAGGTGTTGGAACTTCCAGAGACAGGTATCAGTGAAGTGATGCACATAGGGCTGGCACCACCCTTAGCACAGTGTTAAAGAATTGCTAACAAAGCACTGTAGTTGCGGGTTGGTAAGCACACACTATCCCCTCTGTCCCCATCTTGGGAAATACTCTTACAGGTGGAGACCCCTGCATCATCTCTACTGGAGAGCATCCTGCAGAAAGGCTTCTTAAAATAAAGTTCAGTGATCAAACTGTTAAGTGGCTTCATGTGTTTAACAAATTAACTGGCAACTTCCTCCTCCCTCCCCCAAGATGATTCCATGTTACAAGTTCCACACTTGCATGGTTTAAAAGTCAAGCAAAGAAAAACACAGTCTCCACAGCAATTGGTGATGGCGCAAGGGGGGGGCGAATCTACGGTGAAATCCTGGGCCTACTGAAACCAGTGAAAGTTTTGCCATTGATTTCAATAGAGCTAGGATTTCACTCCCTCCCTTTAAGGCAAATAACTATCACTGTTCAAGAAGTTGTAATTATTTTGATCTATGAGCTTTAATTAGGAGTTAAGTAACAGCAGTAATAATATGACAGGGCCTATCCCAGTAAGATACTGACTACCAGTAAGGAAGAGACTAGACAGACTGACTGATCTCTTGGTTTCTCCAGCTTACTTGTATTGAAAAGTAGTAAAATTCTTATGAAACTAAACAAGAGGCCTATGAATGTGCATAACTGCTACAAATATGGATAATACTTCCCTAAAAAGCAATTAGGTTTCTACCAAGCCAGGGCCCAACCCCTTGTATACCTCTGTGCCTGTGTTAGTAAGACATCCCACTGGAATATGGGTACACACAGGCAGTTCCTGATGCAAGATCAGGGCCGAGTTACATACAAAATTCTCTTAACAAGTTCCTCTCCGGCTTATCAAGCCTTGTGATTTTTGGTTCTTAGAGGCACCATCCAAAATAAAAAATTTTTTCCTCCATGGTTTGTGATAATATCCTTGAAGCTAAGATTTAAAATTACAATCCACATCAATTTTGACATTTTCCATTTTGGAAGATAAGATTTACCCCCACCTGTATTTTGAATAAACCAGATCCCAACATAACTATTTAAGTCTCTGCACTTGTAATGCTGAAACTGATAGCAAGAAAACAAGGTTCCAGTGGCAACATTAACTAATGTTGCTACAAAGCCAGATAGGAAGTGCCAATATTGTTTTATACTGTATCACATAAGAATTGTGACTTAAACTAAAAAAAAAAAAAAAATACCCTCAGCAACAATGTTGTTCTTAAAACCCACCAAAAAAGACATCTGAAATGTCCCCAACCAGAAATATAACGAGCCAAGTTTAGTCCTCCACTATTTAAAGATGTTCATTTAGCGTCAGTATTTAGTTGCTACAATATAAAATCAGTCAATACCACATTTCATAAGTACTCACTCCTTCCACTCCGGTGGGGACCTGCCCATTGACGTTAAATGTTCTGAAGGGGGAGTGAGTAGACAGGCGCTTATCCCATTCACTAGGCCGGGACTCGGGGACGGACTCCATAAAGTTCTTCTTCAGCTCACTGATGTTAGCATGATGTTTCTTTATTTCTTCTTGAGTTTTATCTAGTTCCTATGATTTAAAACAATCAAATGAAGATGAACATAAAAAGAGGCCATCTAAAATTGCCTGTGCTGCCAGATAGCAAGCTGCACTCAAAGTTGTTGCCAATTTCCATTAGTTGTGCTCACTCTGTAAACATACAAGGGAATATTCTCCTTCCCTTTATTCTACCCTCAGATTGAGGGACAAATTTTAATTAAGTGGAAGAGGTCTGCCCCTCTAGCAGGGAGACCTGACATTAGTCATCTTTTACTTCAGCAAAATAGATTATAGTTGAAACACCTGGATTTTTACCTAAAGAGGATTTAAAATATCAAGGTACAGAACTAAAAGAACCCTGACAATTTGATTTCATATCCTTCACTGCATGTTTTCCTCTTTTGTTGTTCTTCCATTAACCCTGAATATCTAAGGGAAGCTCACAGATGCTGTTAACATTCTTAAGAGTTTGTTTCTCATTTCCACTTCTTCCCCTCCCATATGAAATTATCTTTAAAAAAGCAACCTCATAACCTTCTTTGCCGACACCTCATTCCTTCCAGGAACTATACAGGTGGTTTCACACTAGTGAACAAATTGTGAGATAAGAAAACGACTCCTAAAACTCACTGAGCACCTACTTCATGTCAAAGTAACCAGTGCACCCAAGCTAAAACGATAAGGGTATGGAAAATGCTAACTCTCTATTCTGTGATGCCAGGTTACAGCATAAATGCACAGACTTCAACACAAGTCCACTATTCAACTAACTCATTCAAAAACAGCCTTACCTTGCAAGTAAAAACAGAGTTTGTTTAAAACAAAGCCTTTTGAATAAAATAGGCTTAAGCTAAACAAAGACATTTCAAGACAGTGCAAAAAACAAGCAAGACAAAGTCATTGGCAAATTTGATTTTGCAAATTCCATTCTCTATACATTCAATTGTTTTTCAACCTACTAAGTCACTTACTTACACAAGACTAGATTGCTTGTATTTGCTTTAAATTAATACCTGTCAAAAGAGGCTACTCTGTTGTCTGGTCACCCAGTCCCGCGACCCTGCAAGCTTACCAAAGACAGACTGCCTTCAGCTAGCAGAGATAAAAGGGTGTTTCATTAATATAGCTCTCTCTTTTGGCCTATCCGTGGGGAACCAATAGTTTTAGCTTTTGTCCCACATGAAAACATGAGATGAGTGCCTGCTAGTTAGAAAAAGCATGAAAACGACTATTGAAGACTCCACGATAAGCTCAGAAGCTGGAATCGGCAACACATGCAGAGGAGCCCTGCCACTGACTCTGGATTGAAAGAACACAAAGATCACTCCTCTTGTTTAGCCTGCCCCTGGTAAGAAGCACTTTATTCACATTTGGACTTCCCCTGCCAAAATAGTATTAATGTGGAAGCTAAAGTTAGCAAGATGTATCCCACAGAAGTTTGAATTGCTTTTGTAAGCCTCTTTTAATGAACAAAGCCCTCTAATAATTACACTTTTTTCCTGTTCCACCTTTTTATAAATTTATGAAGCACAGAAGTTCAAGATCTGAAGGAGTAACTGTTTTCAATAAAATAAACTAAACATTTTCTAGAACATTTTCCCGCACTCAGACAGTCTGCTGGATTTAATCTGATCTGCCAAATACACAGAATAAAAAGGAAGAAACAACAGACAACTCAACCTTTTTGGTTGCCCATTTCTAGCTGAGGGTCTGTGAACACCTGTAACAAAAGTGTTTCGGGTGGCAGGGGAAGGCAGTAAGAGGTTGAGGAGGCTGAGGCAAAACGAAGCGCACTGGAGCACACAATACATGGGCCAGAGCCAAGTACCACACTAGCAGGAAAAAAGCATTTAAGACAAATTTTCGTTGAGAATTGATAAACAATTAGCTTATGCATGGCCTAAACAAATGGTGGGTGAAATCCTTGTTGCATTCTGACTCCTGCTGACCATTTTACTGATGTCCAAAAGCTTAAAATTGTAGCAGTCAGAAACCAAAAGCTGCAAAGCTTTAAATTAAGATTTTTAAAAAGGCAGTTAGTACATTTCATTTTCAAAAGCAACTGCTGAGGAAACCCCTATCAGCTGCTGAAGCTGTAATCGTTAATAGAAACACAACACACAGAAAAAGTCAGTACCAGAAGCCACAAAGTGTCTTCCATAACAATGTATAAATATATGATTGGAACGTTCCAGTCTTCGAGATCTTGTTTGCGTGGGAGCCCTCTAAATTTTAAGTTTCAGTGTCATAAAGCAGACTATCCAAATCTACACCTGTGCATGAAATGACAGAAAACAACCTTGCACCCTCAGAATACATGGCAACTGACAGCTGAGCATTAGCCTACTGAAGTGTACTCAATGGTACACTTTGCTAGGGATAGTAATTACATCAGACACCAGGGGACTTGCTATTGACCACTCGTTTGTTCCAATGTAGGAGAACTGTACGTTTCCTAGAACACATTAGAGCAGGAAAGTGTTTAGAGAAAAATTACAGTAACAATGATGGTAAATTCTATTGGCAGGTCTCTGGAAATCAAAAAAGGCCTCATCTAACATTACTGTGAGCAAGCAATGGTGGCTTGAGCCCTCCTGAAGTGGCATGAGCCCTTCTGAAGAACGCTGAACAAGATTGCTGTATAGTTTATACAGCCTGCGGCTTTACTGTCAGTCTCATTTTTATGTGCTCAATTGTGATTAATCCTTGATTCCATTCCCCTCTTTTTTCCTTGTCTCAGTCAAGGGGAGAGAGACACTCTCTCTATATACTTGCATCTGCGTGATTCACGTTATTCTGAGTTACCAGTGCAGAAATTCCTATTTGTGGACTGAAGGAAAAAAAACATGCAATAAAGTCACTAGGATGCTAGAAATAGATTTAACACAGGACTATCCCAATCATATATTTTTCTGGTAAGTATGACAGAATGAAAACCAAAAAAAGTAGGAGAAATGACTGCACATCGTTGTGTTTATTGCATATGACATGCAAAAGCATATTTTTTAAAAGTCTTCATGCAATAGCATGCAAAAACAAATTCAGCAGCAGAGGAGGAAGAAAAAAGAGTTCAGCAAAGAATGCAGAAGGTCCAGGCAAACGCAACTGAAATAAGCGTCAAGTTCATACAAACCTCCAACATTAAATTGCTATGCCTGATATAAATGTTTTCACCATCTAGTTTCTTTGATCTTTTCTGTGAAAATGAAAGGGGGAACAAAAAAAAAGAAAAGCACAAAAAATTAAAATGTTGTTCTTGCGGGAATCGCAAATTGGCAAATAAAAAAAGTTAAATAAATGTTTGGAGCGCAGCATTGTGCCAATATGGGATGGGCTGTAGAACCACAAGAACGTGTGTAGACACAGTCACCACCAAGAAATGGAGGACCTTGCTCATGAACAATGGAATAATGTACATGAGTTTCATTTAAAGAGACAGTTCCCAGAGTTTCATTGGCTTATTTGCATTGCTACAACAAAGGCATCCTGCTCTCAGCAAATAAGTGTTCAACATTTTCTATGGAAGACTTGCAAAGATTAAGACATTTTCAACCTCCTGATAATGAAGTGTGTATGGTGTTGCATTAAATGGTATTGTACGTGTAGTTTTTCCAATGCTTGCAAGCCTTTAAAAAGCATTTTATTAAAATGTGTACTACAATTAATATACTTGAAATAACTTCAGCGTTTTACATATCTTCCCCGTCACGTACCCCATAAAACTATAAATGCTTAAGTTTTTGCATTTCCTGGAACGTTCAATGTACAATTTTCTTGTGCTTGTTACTAGCTTTATTTCTGTACAGAACTGTGAAACAATTCATATTCAAAACACAGTATATTTCTCACTAAGAAGTTCTTTAACAGAGATTTATTTAACAATCTCAGATTGCCACTGGGACAAAAAGCTGAATCGTTTTGAAAACAAACAACAGATACTTGCCGATTAAAAATCAAAGCACATGAAGAAATTGGAGCACTGTCTTTTTAAATAGATTAAGTATGCATGAGTGATATGGCAATTTTGCTTGGTGAAAGTGTAAGATGGCTAACCTTCCTCATTCTTATCGGATCTTCCTCTTTTTCTGCAGGCTGCTGTTTTGCAGTGATAAAAAACAAAAAATGTTGGTTCGTTTAGTTATGCTGAACCTTCATTTTACAACCTTTTTAAAAAAATGTGAAAAACCTAACTGATAATTATCAGCACAAACCTGGGGCTGGTCACCATTTGTGGTAGGCAATGTGACCTCGCTGTGCGTTTTCCCCACCTACATTTAAGAAATAAAGTGGTAAAAACATTTCTTGTTAGTAGATTTTTGGAAACCACTCAGTTTCAAAACACAGCTGAAATATTAAGTTGGTTTTGAAATGTGTCAACGTGCAGGAATCAACATGCAGTCTTTTGAAGAGGGTTAACAAGAGTTAACATAACTAACAGTGACAATTTGTTAGTTCAACATCATGTTTCTAAAACTGAAAGTACAATTGACACCAGTGTTTTAAAAGACCCCAAAGAGCATTTATTTAATAGTTCCACCAAATATAGGCTTTTTGTTTTAAGGATATTTGTAAGCCAGTGTTTCCAAAGGTTATCTACAATTTGATATCCCAATGAGATCACTGTCAAAAGTGACATGTTCAAATTAATAGATATACAACTTTTCAGAGACAGAAAATAAAGATGTTCTTTCATGGTGATCATCTAGTCTGACCCCCTGTATAACACAGGCCATACACGTGTCTATAAGTATGTATTTACATTTGTCAGCCAATTGACCTACCAGTAGCACTGGATCTGAGTCTTTCATTCCACATAACTGTAGAGCTAAGAACCAATATTTTCAAAGCTTTTTAAAGTTAAAAGGAATTCAATTCATCCAATTCACATAGGCAATCCAAGCTGTAACAGAGATGGCATGCTTACATTTGATGGGCAAGGTAAAGACCAAGAATCACTCAAGTAAGACTGCACCGCCTACTAGCCTATCACTGAAGTAACTTTGGAAAGATTACCTTGATGGGCCTGTTGAACTAGCAATATCACCACCACAATGCAGGAAGAATGTTGAAATGGGATAAAGTACAAATACAGGAAACATCACAAAGATTGGTTGTCACAAGGCAAAAATAGTTATATATGCAAGGATAAAGAAACACGTGATTAACCCAAGACTAGATTAGATTATGGAGCAGTTTAGGAGCTTCTAGAGTCTACAGGATTTTACAAGAATTCTTTCTACACTAAGCGCCAAAGTAAATCTAATATTGTAACTAGAAAAATCTGTCCGATAAACGAGGGACTGGGTGAATGGAATTATTTTAAAGGTAACCATTGTGTGGCATTAACCTGTTTTACGTTTCAATTATCTGCAAGACTCCATTTAGCACTCATCCTCAGTGACTTAGTGCTCCTGCTCCACGCCTTTATGACAAAAAGTTCAGAGCTCTTAACTATTTGGCAATGGTGGTGTCATCAGTCCAAGTGTGGGTTACCAAAAGTTGTGTTTCGTTAATCATATAGACGGTCCTGTTGACTAACTGATTTGTTCACCTCTCATGTGTGTTTTTAAGGAAGAGAGGCACTTAGATATCAAAAGAAATACACTTAGTACTGTATGTTAAGGAAGCTACAAAGTGGTTAACACTCAATGAAAATGTGACACTGTGATTATGTTAGGCAATTGTAGTTTTGAAGGGCCAAATTCACTAGTTTTAAGTGGATGCAACTTCATTAGAGTCAGAGATTGACCAGATGTAACCAGGTCCAAATTTGACCCTATGTTTCCAGATTGCCACCAGTTTTCTCCAAGCAACAGGAATTCTTATTATCCCTACAGGGATTCCTTGAAGACTGAAAATAAAGATTTCTTGGCTTGTCTGGGGGGTTGGTGAGGATATTGCACTGTCTCCTCCCTCCGGCCTCAAGTGCTTATTTTATACATACTGATCTTCCATGGAATACAACTACAGCTACCATACGTGACTTGCTCTCTATACGATGTAATTACAAGAAGAGTTTGACTCTCAACAAAAAATGGGGAAAACAGAATGTACACTATTCAGAGTGACAGGAAGCAATCTTAAGTTATCTACCCTTTCTGCCTCTAGATTCTCCACTATCCATACCCTCTCTCAAAATAAACTTTAAAATAATAGTGTTGAAACACCTCTTCATACACTATTCTGCCTTATATTTTTATCTATCTATATTTTACACAGAATACTCACAGAAGAACCAGATATTTTCACTTTTCAATTTTTAAGTAGTCCCCCTTAATAGTAAATCCAACACAGTCTAAACAGTGTTTAAATAGTCATAAATCAACATTTTAGTCCAGCTGCCAGCCTGTCAGAAGTCCATTAACAGCTCTCCAGGGAAAACAAATCAATTAAAACACCACTTTACACTATAAATGCTGGAAGATTCTGGGCCCAATTCTTCTCTCACATGATGTACATCAGGGGCAATTCCACTGAAGTAAAGAGCGTTACTAGTTAACAAGAACAAATTCAGTTGTACATGGGGTTAATTCTTAGTGGAACATATTTTAAGGTGATCAACGGGTAACACCTAATTTGTTTAGGACCATCCCTGAAAAAAAAAGTTCTGCCCTAGGTACAATTAAGACATGAAAACTGTAACATGCACTGTAGCATTTTTTTTGTGGTATCTTGAAGTTCAGGAAAGGTATTCTCTGGAATCACAACCAACTACCTAGAGAGGATCCCATTCCCAATCCACTGCGTATACAGGGATGAGATACCTCTCTACCCCTTCCCATCTAATGCAACATTGCCATTGGAGGCCATTTTAGAGCTAGCATTCCATATAAAGCAAAAATCACTTGCAGTCCTCACAAATAAACACTTTATGGTAATTCTAAGGCTAGTGTACCTTGGCCACTTCAGATGGTTCCATCTTCGCCTTCTCTGGTAGCATTTCTTCATGCTTTCCCTCAGTTTCCACAGCTTCCTTCTCCACTTTAGAGACTACTACTATTTCCTTGGTATCTGATGCAGCTGGTGGGGTAGGTTCAACAACATGTCTCTGAGCAATGGCTGGTGCAGAGGTGGGCCGTGGGCTTCGGTCAGGTGTAACCACCGCTACTGCTGAACAGGGAAAAAGAGTCAAGGCAAGGTTCAAAATGCATAATGTTTCTAGATCCCTAGGAAAATCTTCCCAGATTAGAGCACTGTAGTTAAAAAAAAGGGGGGGGGCAGGGGGGAGGAGAGAGAGAGAGAGTAAAGCAGCTTGTGCATTTAGTACAGCAAGGTGGAGGATATTTTCCTTATAGTTTTAATAATAGGCATTGTACAGAAAGTAAAAAAGCAAGCTTGCACTCTGCAAAGAAGCCACACCAGAAATGCTAATTTACTTGTGTCCCTGCAAGGAGTTTCTGGATCTTTCAAACACCACTGATAAGTTCATCACTATGAAACCTTTAAAGTACAAACATTTATAACTGTGATCACTTGTTTTAACTGCACCATGAAGTCCCCAAACAGAAACTTTAGAAGTTTTTGAATCAGACATTGAGATTCTCCACCTCCTCGCCATCTCTGGATCAGATTCATGCATTTTCTTTTGGCCAATTAAAAATCACTAGGTATTTCGTTATAAAGCTTTACAGTCTCCACTTGGCTTTCAAAGCAGACTTCTACTTTTTAGGTCAGATGATTTCCCCTGCTACAAGAAGAGTCACTGTTGAGGATCGATGCCCATCATTTCCCAGTTGCTGAAAGGTGCAGCACTGAACATATAGGCTTCTAACACGTGTCTGTCAGCAGAAGCATGACAAGCCTCACATACAAGCATCAGGTACATGCAAAACTCACCAACCCTCTTCCTTCCCCAATTCTAGTTTCTGAGCGATCAAGTTTCTAAAAATCCTTACATTTAGGAATAGGTGGTCAAACTGATCCTTTATGTCAAAGCAAGCCCCAAACAATTCACTAAGCAATTTCTATACCCACAATAGCCTATTCATTTTTATGGTTGTCCAATTAAACTTCTTCCCATTATTTGAAATAATAAATTCAGTTTGACAGAAGCTCATATTCATGAAGTCAACTACTGGTTCAAATCAGTGGCGCTGGAACATTTTTAACAGTGGGGATGCTGAAAGCCAGCCCTCTTACCACTCTCTGCGCCCCTTCCCTCCTCCCCCGAGCTGGGGTCAAGAGCAGGGCCCTGTCTCCGGGAGAATGGGACCCAGACAGGGGTAAGGGGGCTGAAGCTGGGGCCGGCAGCTAGGACCCCGGGCTGGGAGCCCATGTGTGGGGCCAGGAGCTGAGCCCCACCTAAAACCTAGGGGTGTTGCAGCACCCCCCACACCCTTAGTTCCCGGGCCTAAGGCTCAAATAGGACAATAAACACTTGGTACTTTGTCCAAGCTAATACTAATTTACTACGGTTCACCCAGCTAGACCTAAGACATCAGAAATTTTCAGATTTAAGGATCATAGTCTGTATGTTTAGATATCCTCTGATCCCTGTTTTGCCGCTCATTCAAAAAATATTAAAATGCTTTTTGTCTTTGTCTATAAAATAAAATATGCAGAAATACTGTATGTATTTGACCAATACAAATAGCAGACCAAGAGAAAAATGCAAGAAAACTGCAAACATAATTTTACTGGTAATCAAGTGCACAAACTTGTTGATACCAAAGTTTACTTAAATTTTCACACAGTTGCATATTAATCCAAGGTATGACATTTCTCAAAAAACATTTCTCCTACACATCAGTAAGTGCCTGGTATTGACCTGGCATCCTTTGGACACAATCTCATCTAGCACCACTGCCTTGACACTGCTTGTACTGTAGAAGTGACAATAAACATGGGAAAAGTTGTATGTGGTAGCTGTGAGATAGCAAACAGAGGCAGGCTTAGTAGAAGGAAATGTAAACCACACGGGTGTGAGAAGCCATCACAACTGTACCTGGCTCCTTTTGGACTGGTTCCAGAAATTTGGGCTCTAGTTCTAGATCTTTCATCGTCATCACTTTCTCTTCCTCCTCATCTTCGTCTATTGGGCTTATCTCAATATTTTCAAGGACATGTATAACTAAAAAAATTATGCATTCATTAAAATGCCACCTCAAAGACGGCATGGAAAAGGAGAAGTTACCAAGAGCAAACTTGCAAGAACCACCTCTCTTCAGGAACCTTGTCTGAATATCAGCACGCAGAATTATGCTACTAATTTTATGATGCTTTGGGATAAGAGGACAGGGGGAGAGAACACAAAATTCATACAGTTTCCTTTGGCAGCCTATAATTACTTATCTGATGTATCAAACACTAATTACTTTGATTACTAGGTTATACTTAAAATGTATTTCTGTACCTAGCATAATATTGGCTATAGAGGCACAACTTGTTATGTATAATAATGAAGAACCACATAAAATGAGAGTGGTCAGGCTGAGAAAGGAAACAATTAACTGTCAGGTGTGCATGGATTCAATGCCTGGAAGGCAACATGTTCACAAAGGTCCATCTCAACAGAGCTGGGTGGAGAAATCGTTACAATTTGGCAATAACAATGTACATGGTTTTGGAGGTGTAGTATGCCACTACTCTGACCCACAGAGGTGTATGTGATGGGACCAAAGAGTGGAGGGAACGGGTACCTTGCAAACAAAGACTGGTTGATGGGAGAACAAAGGGATGATTTCCCTACAAAGGGAAGAAGAAACTCTGCTGATGCACAGAACCGTGGACCATGTGATCCGGACATAGCTGGCAGGCTGAAAGTGCAAGGCTCTGAGAAACTAGTTTTGCCTGCCACACTGCAGTAGGTAATATTTGGATATTCTGTAATTTAAGCACAGAGCTAGTTTACTAGTTTATCAACCTTTTCCACAGTATCCAAGTAGGTGATAGGTCTACGTATTTTACATTTTATTTTATTACATTATGTTGGTCTCCAACTTCTGTAATTTGCCAATAAAATCTGCCTTTCTTTAAGACAAATGGAGGTTTATTTGAAGCAATGGAATGGCTTGGAAAGAGCAACTGACTCCAGGGGAGGCTGAATCAGTAGTGAATAGCCGTCAAGTACAATGCAATAAAAAAAGGAGGTTGCAATCTAACTCCTCAAACTGTGTAGCACAACAGCTGCCACAGGTCAGGGAGAGCACAACTTGAACAATTCTAGACTTCGTATACTGCTAGTAGGATTCATGACACATATGCCTATGAAAGTGACAACACTGCAGCACTTCCAGCAAGGTACACCACCTTTGGAGGTTGCCACCTGTATGAATCAGTGCATGTATCAATGGAACTGCTGAACCACTGCTGTAAAAATATTTCTTTTATATATCTCCCCACCCCACTAAAGTTGTCTGGCTCATAACTACGTTTGATGTTGTAGCATTATGATCCAAGGTACTTGCCACGTTTACTCTGGTTTTAATTGAGTTAGTCCCACAGCAAAAATTCCAGCCATATTCTATAGTATTTCAGCACCTTTAACACTGGCAATCCAGAACGCTGCTTGTACATAACAAATAAGCTGTGTAAAAGCAGGTGTAAGTACTGTAGGAGGTGATGTTAGCACGACTGTATGAGAAGCCATCACAGCTGTACCTGGCTGTTTTTGGAATGGTTCCATTAATTTTGATTCTGGAACAGTAACCTTAAACACCTCCACTTTCTCCTCTTCCTCTTCTGCTATTGGTTTCATCTCAATATTTTCAAAAGTATGTTTGGCTAGAAGAAGTTACGAATGCATTAATATACCAAATGGAAGACTGCAGGGAAGTAACAGTCACTAATGGTGAGGTTAGGGTCAATGGGGACTCATCTCTGAAGGACAGCGTATGTCTACATTTGAAGGGGGGGGGGGGAAACCCAGCCAACACACTAAAATTGCCTGTTTTAAGCCGCTCTAGGAGTTAGATCTTTGGTATAATCCTGCATTGCAATTGCATACGAAAACAATCAAAACAATCGGAATTGTGTCCTGGTGTCTTACTTGCTAGCCCTTTGCAGTACCTTGTGGGATGCCTGGGTTGATTTACAGTATCAATCTCTGACTTCTCAAGCCAGCCGGAGCTGGCAACACTTGCGTAGGCAGATGTCACTCCGGTATGGAAGATGGGAATGACTGACCTGTGTCAGTCTCCATCTTAGGAAAGGTATTGATGGGCCTGTCTATATCTTTTTGGACAGAAACATTATGGCTACAAAACAAGGTTTCTATAGTGAATTGTGGTGGAGTGGCAGAATGGGACTCTACTCAAACACAGATATGGAGGATGCTGGCTGGACAGAAATATGCGCCAGTAAGCATTCATCATGAGTTTCCTTTCATTATTAGAGAAGTAGCAAACAGAGCAGATTTCTGATAACATTGGTATAATACACAAATTCGTCCTAACACTATACAAAATTTATACACATCTCAGCTTCTTTGCCAAGAAGTCAACAAGATACTGTTGTAACAAATAATAAACATGTCCTAAGAAATCTAGGCTCTACAAAAGATGGCTCCCCAAGATGTCATGAACTACAAAACGTATTTAACAAGATTTAAAAAAAAAATGCAAGCAACCTCTAAGATGAAATCCAAAAAGAGAGTTTTAAAGCAGATATTTTAAGACCACAAAAACAATATTCCACATTTTCTAATCTAGCATTTATAAGTACACAAATTTAAAATATAGTCTTATTTGAAATGTAATTATACCTTTAAAATCTCTCCATCTGAGCACAGAGTTTCTGTCTAAAAGTCTGCTAGATTTATTTACAACAATCTGTACCCCAATAACCCCCTCTTTTTGCCCTATCACTGCAGAGATATTAACAAGCCTCTCTACCTTGAACGATCTCTTAGAAAACAATATGTTCCATCTTGCATTTAGCTGTGATGCTCAGAGTACTTTTCCCAGACCTGAAGAAAAGCTCTATGTGGCTCGAAAGCTTGTCTCTCTGACCAAAAGAAGTTGGTCAAATAAAAGATATTACCTCACCCATCTTGTCTCTCTAATCTCCTGGGACGGACACAGCCACAACTACACTGCATACATGTCTAAAAAGTGTAATCAAGCAATTCTATTCCAACATTTCTCCACACTTAAGGACATAAACCCATCCCAGCCTGTTGGCTACCTGACTATAAAGAGACATCTTGCAAAGAAATGAAGAAAAAGGCCAAAATTAGTGAAACATTTCAGAGCTGTCAAGTACAAGCATAAAAAAGGAAAGGATAGAAAAGGCACTGCAGAGAGTCATAGCCACCACAGCTATACCTGGCTTCTCTCCGAACTGTTCCACAGGTTTTGATTCTGGAATCTCAACCATCACCACATCCTCCTGCTTCTCCTCCAATATAGGTCTGACCTCAATTTTTTGAGACGTATGTTTAGCTGAAGAAATTGTGCACATGTTAACAAGCTACTCATGTAGCATATAGAGAAGGCTGCAGACTTCAATTCAGTCAGAAGCATTAATTTGCTGTTTTTATTTTCCAAGGTCTGATATTAAAGCACAAGATTAGTAAAAGTGGAACTTGCCCTTCTCCTATGGTACTTGCCCATAGAGTTTGACATGAACTGTCATGCCAACACCGCTGATGAAGTTTAAAAACTTACTAGCAGTACAAAACAAGTACCACCACTTGGAGCCCAGATGTAGTATGGGGATCCAAAGCTAGATCTGTGGTAGTAGTTTTCAAAAACTACATCAAAGTTAAAATGTACTATTTTTCTTTTAGCTTTTGGTGGCAACAGGACAAGCAGGTGCAGACTTTTTACTGAAGTGTTTTATGGCATTTTCTCAAGACTTGAGTTATTACTTTCAAAACTAAAAAAGAGTCTTTATATAATAATTCATATTCAGATGAAAAAGCAATCTGTTTCAACGGACTTTAGGAATAGAGTCAGTCTTCAGGATTTAAATTCACAACATTCTTTTTTGCTTGTCTTATTTGACAGTTCTGTGAAGTGTCACCTCACTGTCATTTATGAGCTTTATAACAAACCAATTTATTTCTCTCTACAATTTTCTGCCCACAAATTTTGAATCAGAATTGACTATTTTTTAATAAACTAAAATTAACAAAATGAACGTCCTTACAACAACTGAGTGTCTAGAAATACATTCCAGGCACTGTCTCGGTTTCAGGCTCTTTACATCAGCTTTCTTCTTTAGCGAAAATAAATTATTATTGTTAATAATAATAAAAGTTATGAAGCCTAAGCCCACAGGGTGATTTTCAATAGGAAAAAAAAAAAGTATGGAAACCTTACAATAAGGTAATGAAACTTCACTCACCTCCATCAAGGCTTCTAGATGCCCGTTTACTTGCTGTTCGTTCAAACTGTGGAGCAGGTCTGTCAATCAAGGCACTAGCTTGTCTTGTCTGGGCCTGCGTCCGTCCACTATAACGGAATTTAGAGCCCAGTGCCAGGAATCTGCTCTTGGGAAGTGCTTCAGGGGAAGTTAGCCTGAAAGGTACACATGTACTTTAGTTTTATATCTCCAAATCACTCATATTATATAGAAAGAAATTAAAGAGATGAGGGGTGGGGGCGTGGAAAAACTGAATATATTTTTCTAAATGATCTCTTAACATAATATACTCCTGGGGGGATTCTGCATCACTGTGCGCCCGCCACCACCGCAGAATTCCTGTGCTTCTCTGCGGGAAAAAAACAGGGAAGCAAAGGGAACCGGGGCACAGGGGGGACCAGGAGTGCAGCTTGGGGCAGGATTGCACCCCCCCAGAGTCGAGGCATGGGGGGGGGCACACAGGGTTACATGCCACACCTCCTCCCCCCCAATTTCTGCAAGCACAGATCTGCCCAGCTCAAGGAGGCTGCATGTCTGCTCCCCAGACTCTGCAGCTGAACGCCGCCTCCTGGGTCCTAGTGCCAGTCGTGCTGCCCTTCTGTGTGCTGGGAGCCTTCCTGTTTTCTGTGCAGCGGGCGAGTGCCCACGGTGGGGTGGGGCATAGGGCAGGGGGAGGGGAATGTGGGAAGGGGGATGGAGAAGAAATGGGGATAGGAGAATCATGAGGGGAAGCAAGAGCCTGGCATGCAGCATCCCCTCGGCAGCAGCTGGGGCTCCCCTGTTAAGCAGACCCATCGAACCCTCACCCTGACAAGCCCTACCCCCCTATACCTGGACCCCTTCGATGAGCCCCGTAAACCCAGACCCCACCTCATTGATCCCCAAGCAGCTGCACCTGGACCCCCACCCCATCAAGCTCCACTCCCCCGGCACCCAGACCCCACACCTACAAAGTTTCTATATTAACCAAAAATGTAACATTTAGCTTTCTAAGAAAAAACTTTAGGGAGTAAGGAGGGGCCCTTAGATTAACAACATGAGAGAGTCTAACATATATTTACTATCCAGCAACCATTTTTCAGACCAAAAGACTTGCGTGAAGCATCTTATGTCATTTCTTTAGCACAACAGTTCATCTGGAGTTGTATTTATTTAGGAAAAGGTCCCATTATCAAGAATTTTTTCTTGACCTTTCCCATATCAGTACCTGCACCTCAAACTCCCACAGCTGAGAGGCACTTTCTGATACAACAACACTGTAAAGTGGATACCAAAATAAGGTGCATGACAGCACTGCAATCAGCATCTTTCTACAAAGCTGACATGCATCCGACAAAGCTCATGCTCCAATATGTCTGTTAGTCTACAAGGTGCCACAGGACTCTTTGCTGCTTCTACAAACCTTGACATCCTTAGCTCTCATGAAACTCTGTCACTGGTTTTCTCAATCTCAGCCTCTATTTTACTCAATAATCTCTTATTAAAAAGAAACCATTTAGGGGTAAAGATACAACAACACCTGACAGAGATACTGGATAAAATAACCAATATCTGAGTTAAATATTTGGCAAACACTTCTTTATTCTCATTCTCTTATGGCATTTAGATACAGATGTTATCCTTTCAGTGCCTTACTTCCAGATCTCTGTATTTTGATGGATTTCCTATGTTATGTTCTCAATGGTTAAACATTCATTTGCTAGCTTGATTTATTTTAGGAATACTAAAATAAAAGTCTGTCTCCATACGCACTTTTTACTCTTTACAGGCCTTATTACCTTAAATCACTATGGAGGAGAGTCAGACATATCTATCAGCAAAAGAATTACAAAAATTGAGACTTGAAATTAGTATCACTTTAAAAAACCCACAATATTTAATAAAGAGATTTTTTTTTTTTTTTTTTTTTTTTTACAATTTTAAGCAAGACATACCTGAAAAAAGTGTGATGTTCAACACAGACTTTCCACAGTTTCTTAGCTGCCCGATAACTAGGTAGTTTGAATCCAATGGTACTTTCATATTGTTCGTGCTATGGAAAATTGCAATGCAGATTATTTTATTATAGCTACAAGTGACGTATGCAAGAGAACATTACTACATAGAACATACCCAGGTAAAACCCAGGCAAGCAATTCCAAAATTCCCCTCACAGAACTTCTTCGGCATTCTTCCACTAGAGAGATGAGGGTTTGGTCCACAAACCCTGTAGATATACGAACATACTCAGGCATCTGCAAGAAGGCATAGGCCCTTCTATATGGAGCCTATATTTCTCTGCAGCAGTTCTGGGATCCCCTTTAAGAGGGATTTTCCACCAGAGAAATGAAAACGTGGCCTGCGACTATATTACATTTCTAGGGGTACTTTCCCTGGGTGGGGGGAAATGCATCTCCCCTGGCCTCCCTACTCATTGTCTGCTTCCATTCATGCTGGACCCAACAAAGTGGGGGTAAAACAATGCAGCAGAGGCCACTCCATTCCCCTTTCCAACATGGGAAGGAGATCCACATACAAGTCAAAACAGCATGATCCAGCCCCCTCATATACCATGTTGCTACATACTTTGACAATTGATAAAAGTACAACATTCTGAATTATGAATGGTCATCTAAGGTCTTATGAAACGAACAGCTACTTGCTTTCCACAGCAAGAAAAAAAAATGTCTTTACCACAGAATCTTTTGCTCTCCTCATTAAAGTTATGTTTCCAAGTACTATCAGAAAGATCAAGCATTTTGCTTCATATGGGTAATGGTGAAATATTTTGTTTATATTTGTATTTCTGCAACAAAGATATGTTATGTGCTTGTCTTATTCCAATGAGAATATGTTCAACAGCAGAATACCATACTCTACAAGTAGGTGGAGCTAACTATGTAATTTATAATTCAAATGTAATTTTATAGGCTCAGATATTTTAGTTTTATATTCTAAATTGAATCTACTACAAAGCCAAATAACACAGGCAATAAGGTACAATTTAAAATGAAAAACCAATTGTACTACTGCAATTATGGAAACAACTTTAAATCTCCACAGCACTTTTCTGTTCTTTATGTAAACAAGAACAAACTGGACACTAATTAGAAAATGAGTTATTACTATGCAGGACAAAAACAGAAGATAAACTGGCAACGTACCTCCCCTGGCCGGATCTTAATGAAGAAGCTGCTGCGTTTGTAGGAAATCTTCAGCACTTTGGGCCAAGGAAAGCGGTTGATTCTCAGTTTATCTTTATAGACAAGAAGGCCACTGGAACAGACTCCCAGAATGATGTCAACTCCCTCCAAGTCCTAAGAAAGTTAATACATATTTATACCTACAGCAGTGTTGAAGTTCCAACAACTGATCACCCAGCATTTTCTCTATACACTCCTTTTGTCTTTTCCTAAATAGCTACTGAATTCATTTGTCCTGCATGCTTGAACAGCTTCCAACTTCCCACGTGCCAAGGGCCAATTTTACTTTCCTTCATATCTCTCTTTAAAACCTCCTCCCTTCTATTGATCTCTTCTCCAATCCCATCTGCTCAAAGTTTGTGTCTGATCTTTTAGGGTTTATACTGTATTTATCAGAATTCTGAAAGTGGATTATTTTTCAGGCTCAAACATTAGTTTAAATTCGTCAGACTAAGTGCTTGTCTACATTGGTAGGTTTATAAAGAGCTCTCTATAATGTACAGAGAAGCAAATCAGGAACTGTAACTTCCTTTTTATAAGGCTTGCACTAATGCTTACAACATATCTATTATATGCTTGCATTTCTGCAAGGGTGGCTGCCTGCCTGCCTACATCTTTGATCAGGACTCTTGAAACAAGGAACCTGTGGGCCCCAACCTACACCACCACCAACAAAATCTCTTACCTTGGCTTGGTGAAGGTCAACTCCATACATAGACAGCTTTTTTGCATTCTCAAGAAATTCGAGGTCTGCTTGGGCTGGAGTCATGGATCTAAAAAAGGTTATGTGGGGAAAAAAAAAAAAGACAATGAACTTACTGTTATCTATAGTAATGATTAGTTTAAAAGGAATAGACAGTGATCTTCTATTTAGCAAAAGAATTGCTGAGCCTTGGTTTGCTGAATTGATTTTCTGAATGCAAAATGTTATGTTTACAAAAGATACTGCTTCGTATTTATTCTATGATAATTCCTCAACATCTTATGCCTCTGAAGTACCTAGGGTGACCATATGTCCCCTTTTGGCCGGGACAGTCCCCTTTTTAAGTCCTGTCCTGGGCGCCCTAATTTTTTTGGCAAAACTGGGCATTTGTCCAAGTTGTCCAGTTTTGCCAAAAAACTGGGGCATGAAGGAATGTTGGGGGGGGGGGCAGCAAGTGGCTTGGGCCAGCCCTGCACACAAGAAGGGGCTTGGGTGAGCCCCACACAATGTCCCGTTTTCCCTTTGGGAAACATGGTCACCCTAGTAAACGGACTGAAAAAGGAAAGCACCGCTGTACGAATCATGGCACTGATACTCTAAACAGCCAACTTCATTTGCAAAAAAGGTGAACAAATTAAAGCTACTGAAGCCAAACAGCGAACTGTGGTACCCACTCAATACTTTTCAGAATCCAGCTATTGTTCTGAGAATTAAATGCCAGGGCAGTTGAAATCACTTAATAGGAGACTCCTACTAGGAGCAGGCTAGATGAATGAGACATTTTCTGGGAATAGATAGTGTACTGTCCATAGGAAAGGCAATACAATGCAACTCTGGATAACAGAAACATCCTGATAATGGGGCTATTTTCAGTGTTATTGAAGTATCTCTGGTAATAGGCTTCTATTGTGCAAGGTGTCCAAATGCTATATTGGGACAGTACTCATTTATATACATTTAGTTTTGTTTGCTGCTTTGATATCTTACTTACAAAAGACTTTACATTTTATGTAAACTGTAAATCCTAGTGTTATGTCTTATGCAGGCATGATACAATACAGACCAATGGGAATAAAAAGGATGAATATTGCAACAATAGCCCATTTTAAGTGGAACAACAAGGTCAACATTCATCTCCTAAACACAAACCCTCTATAGTTCAAATAAAATGGCAATAGCAGTAAGAACATTTTATGTGGAAATTCTTTACCTAAAAACCATCTGAGTGTAATCAGAGCCTGCAGCGCTGCACGCTCGCTCGCAGCGCTGCAAGCTATTCCCCTCGGAGAGGTGGAGTACTTACAGCGCTGCGAGAGAGCTCTCGCAGCGCTGGCGGCGCAACTACACTCGCGCTTCGCAGCGCTGCCACAGCAGCGCTGGGAAGTCCTGAGTGTAGCCAAGGCCTAGGATTATGACAAGACACAAACGGTGGACAAAAGGACAACAATGGGAGTGAGTGGAGGGGGAGAGGGGAAGAAAGCAGTAAAGGCTACAGTTTGTAGGTAAGTAGTCTCAAGGGGCAATTACTATTACACGACCAACTCTGGACTCTCTCAGTATCTGATTCCTTCATAGCACTAGCAGGGTAGTTTATGCAAAGCAAGTGGGTTATAAATTCTGGAAGGACTTTTTGTAACTGTTTGGAGTTTATTTATTTACTTAAAGCAGATGGATTTTCTTTGTGAACTGAAAACTCATTTATGAAACTAATACACACACTCTCTCTCTCTCTCTCTCTCTGTTGTTCTGTTTGAGGCTCACAAAAGATATTGATGGCCCTGAAGAGAAAAATAAAAAAACAGAATTTGTGAAAATACTAAATGGCTATCATTCTAATTACTCCTTTTACTTTGTGGTGCACAGACAAGCTCCCTTAATACCAGCACTCACCTGTATGTTTTATGTAGTTCCATGACTTTTTCTTCAAGTTCCTTTGTCTGGTTTGGGGCCAGTTTAAACTCACTGACATAATCTGCACTATGTAACTCCGGGTCATAATCTCCCAATTCAGACTGGACTGTGTAAGAACTCAGCAGGGCCAGTGTCGCAAAGGAACAAGGCAGACGCCCTGTAACAATGTCATGTCTAAGCTGAAGACACAAATAATACCTACAGGAAAGAAGCAGAAGATGTGATTTTAACTGAGAGTTCAATAGAACAGTGGTTCTCAACCAGGGGTCCGGGGCAGGTTTCAGGGGGTCAGCCAAGCAGGACCAGCGTTCGACTCGCTGGGACCCAGGGCAGAAAGCCAAAGCCCCATCACATGGGGCTGAAGCCCGGGGCCCTGAGCCCCGCCACACAGGGCTGAAGACGAAGCCTGAGCAACGTAGCTTCGCGGGGGCCCTGTGGCATGTGGTCCCAGGCAACTGCCCTGCTTGCTACCCCTTAACGCCGACCCTGGCTTTTATATGCAGAAAACCAGTAGTTGTGGCACAGGTGGGCCATGGAGATTTTATGGCATATTGGGGTGGGCCTCAGCAAGAAAAAGGTTGAGAACTCCTGCAACAGAAGACAAAAATGTGGTCATTTTATTTTGAGCTGAAGCTCCTGAGGAAATGAAGAGAAAGGCCACTTTTTATGCTGCTAAACGGCGTGGAGTGGTGTTTGTATTGGCTTTTAAGAAAAAAGAGTTCGTGCACCCTCATCATTCAAAGGATAAGGGCTACATCTGTCTGAAAGGAAGAACGATCACAGGATTTAAAAATAAAATCACCCCCTTCAAAATGGAGCTTTTGATAACTGAAATCAGACTTTGTTCAAGGCATTTAAAAGTATGTGCAGGTATGCATACATAAAAATCATGCACATATAGACTTCAGTGCAGACTATGTCTAGTCCTATAGTATTAACTCTAAAATATACTTGAAAACAAAGATTTATAAATAGCTTTTGAGCTTTTACCTGAAAAGCAAAATATCGCGCACGTCTATTGTACTTTCCACTCTCAGTACTTTACTAAGCGAGCCTGATTAGCAAAGTTAATGGGAAATAATGTATCTTTACCTCGTTATATCCTCTGTCAGCTGTGCTGGATCTGGTGGATAAAACTTCACATTGAATGTAAAGTTCCAGGGGCCTCCTGTAATTAGAAACATACAAGTTTTGAAAATTTACAACAAAAATGTTCACAATACAGAAGTTTATAAAAATTATGAAGATCAAATCTGATTTTAAAAATAAAGCATTCAAATGATATTTATATTTGAATGCTGCCATTTGAACTATTGATTATAGAATGTAGTTTAAAGAAGTGATAAAGTCTCTGATCTGTTTTCATTTACTTAGCTTAAAATACATCTTTTATGGGGAACACGTAAGCAGACTATGTGGAGGTGGACATATTCAGATAATATAAGAAATGTGGAATTCACTTGTTTTGGAATCTACTGCTCATTAAATACTTCATATCTCTCTTTGCTTTTTATAGATGTGATCAAGTATGAATAGAGGTCAAACTGTGGTGTGGGTTAATGAATTAGCATTTTACCACCAAAGACTCAGGTTTTAAATCTCCCTTAGGTGAGAAGAAAGAGGTGTTTAGTGGTTAAACATTGGCCCATGCCACACAGCCACCATATAAATTCAGTACAAATATCAATGTGTAGTCAAGAAACACCCAGGACTAAAACAGCAAGGGTTTTGCAGGTCAAGACTGAAATGTTTTAGTACAGCTGAATTACAAGGTTTATGTAGCACTTTCAGAGATAGTACTTAGCTCTAGTTAGTGTCATCAGTCTTACTTCTAGGAGTACTACAATTATATTCAAAATGTATGCTCAGCCACTGTTCAATAAATCACATCTAACAAGCAAAGATGCAAAACTATGTTTATTTTTCAATTTATACAAAAATGAAACCTTTCATAAACTCTCTGGGAGTCATACTGTATTTGAAAATAAAGATTTTTAAACAAACTGATAAGTGAAATCATTAAAAAGATACAAAATATAATGTTCCAATCTAGCACCTTACAATCATAATTACATTGTGTGGACATTAAAACTCACCCCTCCCCTCCTTACTTCAGAGAGTTCAGATACCAAGAAGGCAGTAGCTTTAAAGATTTATTTTTTCAAGTGTTCAGAATGAGGTCACCATTTCCTCTTGGAAGGTATAATCAATTTTGCCCTTAGATAGCTGACCTGAAGGGCAGAGGCATTAAATGCTTCAGTAGGGAATTTCTAAAATTGCTGCAAAAACCTGAGTCAAATATAACGACTTCATTCATTACCCTCTAATTCAATAGTTTAAAATGGTACTTAATTCAGGAAGGCAAGTTTTTCTGATTTGGTTTCTTAAAAGATTTAATAAATCCCACATGGGGCTGGGACAGGGGAGGATGGGAGAAACCAAACAGACTCCATTTACAGATTTGCCTCTTACCCAATAACATAACTGAGTTAAGAGACAAATCCTGCCATTTTCATTCTATGGTGCCAGAAACATTCAAATTATTCATGAATAAGTTTAAGATAATGGTGAGCAACTTTCCATCTATTTTAAGGGGAACACAAACATTCTGGGGTTGTCTGTAGAAAAGTACTGTTCCCTTTTTTAGATCTGTATCTTAATCATGTCATTTTTCTAGTAAGACAATTTAAATTTATCTCAATCAGCTGAGTGAAACAAAGGGTTCCTTTAAATATCATCCTGCTGTAGGTTTTTGCACCAGTCTCATAATATTGTACTTTTACCACTAATGTCGCAAAGGAGAAAAGCAGCTAAAGCTGTGCATACAAACAATTGCTTTTGTAGATTATAAAAATAAAAATAGATGACTGAATGAAGAAGCTTTCCCAGTGCTGTTTATTTATTAACACCAATGGAGTTTTGCCTCTATTATGCCACACAGAGAGCCTCTTCAGTTTACAGCTTTGTTGAAATATCTCTCTTCCTCCCTGTAAACCTACACACAAATTCACTTTCACTACAGTGAGACGTCTTGAGTGTGTGTATTCTTTGAAGAAAAACTGGTCTCTGAAAATGGATCTACATGGACACTGATATCAGAAGAAGTCACAGTCCATTTCTGCTTATACTGTGAGACATTCATCCTGACACTGTTCAAGCCACTTGTTCAACTCAGATATCCCATTTGGATGCCTGAGCAGTTCTGAAGAATCCACAGAAGTTTGCTACGGCATATACTTTTCTTTTCCCGATTCCCATCTCCTTATTTATCCTTAAGCGGTTCTCCATGACATTCATCTTTTTCCCCCTCGCCCCCCCCCCCCCACACACACACATACACACCAGCAGGCTGAAAGGCATCTACCCAATTCTGGATTGCACTATGGAGGCACAGCATTTGTCTACATCCTGACAATGTACTGTAGGATATTCTTCATTGTACCGAAGTGTCACTATTAAGAGTAAAAAGAGGGAGTGCATGCTGTTTGAACTTGTGCTGATCCCTGACAAACACCCTTCCATGAACTCTAACTGGTCTTCGGGGGTTCTCTGAATTGTAGTCCAAAGCTATAAATATCTACCAGTAAAAAAAAAAAAAAAAAAAAGATCAAGATGAACTCAATCCACTTACCATGAACCTGCTTTTTTATTTCTTTGGCAGAATCCAACCATGTCTGTAAGAGGAGAAAACAGTAAAATTCACACAGTTGACAAGTATGAAAAGAAACACCACAGGAAACAGTGCTGCCAAGCAGCTAAATAAGCAGCTATCAAATGTGAACTGAACTGGCTGTTGTAATGTGTGTATACAGTCTATATTGTACAATATCTATCTATCCATCCACCTCTATATTACTCTATACTACTACTCAGACACATGTACAACATCCTAAGTTTCCCCATTTTTCAGCATGTTCACTCCAGCCTACTATCTCATCACACCATTCATCTACATGCAGTTCAAAGTGGAGAGAGAGAAAGGATGGGATGAAGGACAGCAGCAGAATTCCCATCCGTGACTTTTGTCCCCCAGTGGCCAGCTAGTACATATACACTGCATACATGATACATTAAAATTCCAAAAGGACATGAAAGCTCTATATCCAAAAAGCTTCATTTATTTGAGCTCCTACAACGGCCTTGAACAATAAAGTGCTAACTTCCAAGGGAAGCCATCTCTCTGTGGATCTAAAGGTGCAGACTACTCAGTTTTCTCATTAAAATAAATGCTCTGATGAAATACTGCAAACTACATTTCTCTCAAATTCCAGCATCAGACAGTCTAAGCTAGAGCTAGACATTAGATCCATAAAGGTTTTAACACTGACATTTTCTCACAACCGGCTGCACCTCCCTCCGCATTTTAAGATGTATTGCTCACACTAATTCAGATGTTTAGATAGTAAGTTAAGCCCCTCTATGTGTAGTCTTTAATAAAGACAGTTTTATGTCCTATCAATCACTGGAATAAGTGAAGATTTTGCAATGACAGCAAAAACTTAGCACCTATCATGACAGTTCGGGGTGGGGGGTGATAATCTTTATTTAAAAAAAAAAAGGCACATTTCTGAGAATTAGCTTGAGGAGATAATATATTTAGACATTTTTATCCAGTTCCCTCAGCTGCCCCTAATTCAGCTCCTTTATTTGTATTTTTGGGGAGCAAGGAGGTGGTGCAAAACTGATGACAGTGAAATTATTTCACAGTCCTGCCAATGCTCCTCGTGAAACATCTCCGTCTCGAGCCTCTTCTTAGCAGAAGCGATCAGTTGTGATACACTGTATGAAGACAGTGCAATATTGATAATCATCTTCTAGAGGCTAGAATGAAGCCATCAAATTCATGCTCATGTGACCTAAGCAGGATTTGTAAACCTGTGTCTTCTGAGGTGAAAAACTAGTATGCCCACCCCATTCGGCCCTCTAAGCTCATCTTTCTTAATCTAAAGGACATTTTTCTTTAAATGTTTACTCGTACAACGGTGGATAGGTTTAATTTAAATTCATTATTAAAAATCAGCTCTCTTCTACTCTTCCAATCTTTACAACTAGTGCTATGAAACCCATGAAAAACAAGGCCCACAGGCCAGCTACATAGCATTTTTGGGGGTCTACGGTTTTGTCAGCATAGCAATTTTAAATGTAAGTGCTGATGCTACAAATGTTAGTTTTCTCCAATGAGAATGGGACAGCCTAGCTGCCGGCTCTAACGCAGCCTGAGTGCAGTCATGCATTCATGGAACTCATCCTGTCTGCCTAATCCAACAGACAATGAGGGGTTCGGTAATTAATGATACTCTTATCCAACGCTGTTTCATGAATCAGTGGGAAACAATTCTCCCTTTCAGACTAGTATAAACTCCAATATAAACTCCTTCAGTGCTAAACAGTCCCTCTATTCACTTTCTCACACTGGAAAAACAGAGGATGAAAGCGCCCTTCCTTGCAGCCACTGTTGGTTTATTTCTGAAGGTAGAAATATTTAGGTATAATATTTTCATGTGTATGTGCGTGCGCACGCACACCCCCCTCTTTCCCATCAAACCCTAGCTATCATTTTGGAGGAGGTTCAAATGTTGGTTTGTTGAAGACTCTTATTAAAAACACTTTAGCTGGTAAATCAAGTAACTAGGTGAGGGCACTTTTTAAAGAGTATTGTAGTACTGGAGGGAATGTCAGACTTGGAAGTTTACACTCCATTAAGCAGAAAGATATATAGATATATATGGCAATTATCTCAAAAGAGCAAAAGGTGGCTGCAAACATTAATAGTTTATTCCAGACTGGGATTAAAATCTATATCGAACAGCTGTTTAACTCTCTCATTCTTGGTTTTAAGTGACAATAAATCTCCGACACCGAACAATCCTGCTACTAACTGTGTTCCCTCACTCGTTGCAGTCTGTAAGAAATTACAGCAGCAAACTCCGAATCAGACATCGAGCGAGTAAAAAAAGCATGTGTATAATTCTGTTTTCGAAGACGGCAATGCAATTAGCTTTCTTCCACTCCTCCTGTCCCAAACCTAAGGAAGCCTGCTTGACTCAAAAGTAATGGATACAAAGAGAGGCAGACAAAAGGGGAAGTGGTCAGAGAATGATGACCTGGCAATTTTCTTCCCACAACACAAAACACATTGGTTAAAAGACTTAGCTTGAACAGCTTGACATTTCTGCCTTTAAAAATATCTAACAATGTTTTACATATAGTAGATTCCATTAAGTATGGAGTAAACAACCCCTTACTGCAAGAATGAAATCAAATTCTAAATACAAGAAAATAAAAACGAGACTTCAGCTGACATGAAAGCCACTATTCTGTTAACTGTCCACAAAAAGAATCTTTCTTTGTATCTTTTAAAGAATCTTTTAATGGTTTAATTTCTTCATCCCACCATAGTAAACCAGTTTAACATAAATGATTCCAATATGTGAAACAAGGAGGTAGCCAGAATACTGACCATAAGCTATGAAAAGTCTTTAAATACATTTCAAGTCAGACAATGATTTGAAATCAATCCCCAGGTAGGCTTAATTTTTACTAAACAAGGCCTTAACTTTTATGTCAGGCAGTCTGATTTGTTAAAGAACACACAAGCGGGTTAAAAATAACAATGCATGACAATGACGCTGCATAAATCTAAACAAAAACAAAGTAAAACTGACCAATTTGAGTTTCAGTATGAAGAATTTAACTTATTTTCAGCAAATACATTAAAAATTGCATTGCCTCACTAAATATTTACACTTTTAGTATTTTCCTTCCCTTCTGTCAGTGACAAGTCTCAGCTTGAAACATTAATCCAGAATGGCCTCCCACCAAATCTTGTAAATGCTGACAAGAGCTCCAGGGACTTTTTCCAATGATGGTCAGGCCAGCTGGAGCCATTCTCCTGTGACATTTTTCCACTCTAAAGGGAAAGTGCTCCAAGAAGGCTACACGCTTATTTGGTTAGTTCAACTAATCACAAATAAGCGTGGATGAAAACTGACAGTTTCCATTTAGTGTTTTCCTGTAGAAAATCAAATGTAACTAAAAATTTTCTAACTCGATTTCCTCGGTTACACACAGGACAGGAGTGGAATTTATATATGCAACTCCATGGGAATTATCCAAATAATTCCTTTGTGTGCGCACAGAACACACTGTTAAATCTGGAACCACTTACATTTCTTTCCATATTTTATGAAGTTGAAACAGCCAGTATTGTACCGCAGAATACTAGAGTGCAGGGAGTAAGTTGTTTCCAGTCATAATATTGATTGACTGGTTCATTCAGATACAGATCAGAGGTGTACCCATGACAGTGAAGAAGGAAGCACTTGCCTGATCAATAAAACAAAACAAACCTAAGGCTAAATCACTAAGAGTCAGCCATAACAGTGACGGACAAGTCAGGAAGAGGAAGAAAATGAACACGGGACCCTTCAGAAATTGAGATGAGAGATGCCAATCTACATACACTTGACTCAAATTAACAGCTAAATCAAACATGCTTATTTACCCCCAAAGTAACAGACGTTGATTGCTCCTCTTATTATCTTTAGTACATACATGGAATAATTTATGACTATGAAGAAATTCTCACTGATTTCCTTTTGTGCTCAGGTTCTTCCACATCTTAAGTATCTACTCCTCTATTCTATCCACTCTATTTTGTGAACCACAATTTTTTTTTTTTTTTAAAAAGGAAAAACCCTAATATCTCCAACACTTCTGAATAACTTAAATCCATGAGTTCTTCTGCTGTATATTTATAATGCAAAGAGAGAGAAAGAAAGAAACCAGAGTCTAGTCTAATCTATTTTGCATTTGGCTTCATTCCTCTAGAATAGATTTTTCCAAGTTCGTTTTGCTCCCCTCCATTAGCAAAGCCCACGCTGTCCTATTTTATAGTAGTTTCTATTTTATTCACAGTATCGTTACTCTTACAATTCACACACTTTGCCAGTTCTTAGAAAAGGTCTTTCACACATGGGGAAAAAATAAAAATATAGCTAGATTAAACATAATTTTTTGGGATGCTACACACTTCTTCCCATTTTGGAGACAATAACCTATCAAGAAGAGTTTTGGATTTTTTTGATTGTTGACTGTAGTTCCACAAGCACCTTCTTACCTTGGAAGTTGGAGAGTCCCATACGGCCAGTCCAAAGTAGTCTTCTTCAAGAAGATTGAGGTGCTCGCATACTTTTCTAAGCAGATCCTGACCCTTGGCATGTTTCTGCAAATAAGTAACAGATTCTATATTATACATTGCTTTTTGCCTCTCCTCTCCCCCCAATAACTCTCCCACTCTACATAATCACTGAAGAGGGCTGGATTCTTGAGCAAAAGAAAGGGTACTGACTGGCTCAGCAATTTATGGCCAAGTATTTCACTTTACAGGCAAGAGCATCAGATCGGAAATTCAAATACAGCAAACCCGAATTATTGGGGAAGTGTTTAAAACTGATGTAGACTCTGTTCCTGACCATACTGACTAAGCATCCTGAAAGTCATTTTATCTGCACATCAGTTTACCCATCTCAAAAAATGGGTATATAATTATTCCCTACCCAAAAGAGGTGTTGTGTTGCTTAAGTGTTTGTAAAATGCTTCGAGATGGTACTTATGCTACAGCGATAGGTGGCAGTACAAAATGCTACATTAGCTAGGTTTATCAAGTGGTGACCAGACTGAGACTTGTGACTGGAAATAGCACCTATTATTCTGACGCTATTTTGGGACACAGCATGATCTAGTGGATTAAGCATAGAACTGGGAGCTAGGAACCTTGGGTTCCAATCCTAGCTGTACCGCTGACTTCCAATCACAAGCTCCCTGTCTCAGTATTCCCATTTAAAATGAGAATAATATTTATCTGTCTTTAGGATTAATTTAGGTTTTTTCTAAATGTTCTGAAATGAAGTGTTATTTAAATACTACACTTTGGGGAGGTTTTTTGTTTGATTTTTATTTAGGCATTCATTACACCACCACTTTCATAACAAGAATAAGCACAACACCACAAGAAGCTCCCTAGGAAATAAAAATTACTTCTGACCCAATGTATTTTCATTTTAAAACTACTTTAAATGCTACAATACTTTCATTTTAAATTCAAAAGATTAAAAATTAAATCTAAATATCTGCCATATAGCAGAGTTCAACAAAATTTCAGACTGGGTCTAATCCACATACACTTGTCCTGACAAGTGGATTCTATCAAACAATCTAGAGAAACAATGGACATCTCGATAATTTAAGCTTTGTATGTTTTAAGAGAATCAGACTGGCAGAGAGAGAGAGAGAGACAGAGGCAGAGAGAGACACAGAGAGGCACAGAGAGAGAAGCTATAGCTTAAAGGGATTTACAGCTCCAGGGATACTACAGCTAAGAAACTGCAAACTGCAGCAAACAATTTTTTAGGCTTCAACTACATAATTGTCCCAGGCCTTCCCTTAAAAGATCAGCTATTTCTTGTTATCGGATAAGGTTTTGCCCCAACCACGTTCCTCACCATCTCTAGGACATAAAACTATGTTACCAGAAGCATCCCATGTGATAGCAATGGCAGCAACACTGTTACACAAACACTGATGCACTGACCTAATTGTACAGGGTCATCTAAGGTAACTGCTTTGCACAAGAAGCCCTAGAAACCTAAACGGGTCACAAATGAGCAACCAGACTTAACCAGTGGGTTCAGGGCTTAATTAGCTCATTATGTCTCAAAAGACTAAGTGCCAGATTGTTTACGTGTTGGGCTAGTACTCAGATGTTGAATTAGATTTCTGTTGACTTCTTATTTCTATGACACTGGGATCATCCTATGAGATATATATGAAAAACATGTACAGCCAAAAACCTTTCAACAATAGGGGACTGAGCAGAGCTTCTGAAATCGATTTAATGGGGATGCTAAAAACATTATTTGTTTACTGCTATTTCTATTCTGAACAATACTGCTAGACATTGTAGCTCTACTAGCAATTTTTACATACCCACATAAAAGGGCATGTTGGCCCCATAGGTGGCGAGTTAAATGGTCCCGTGGTGCCCATGCTCCACCAGTATTCTGGAATGTGATCCTGGCTCCACCAACGTTTGGGCTTATATTTTACATACATTTTGATGTAAACAGTATCTCTGTTCACAGTCGTCCACTGAGCATCAACCTGAAGGGTACGCTTAAACGTTATTTTCATAGGCGCGGGAACTAGGGGTGCACATTTTACATAGGGTCCCAACTGCCGCTTGGGGCGGGGGGAGTGGACAGGAGTAGGATATAGATCGGCTTACAAGGCAGGTGTGGTGAGGAAAAGACTGCCTTGGATCCATGCACCAAGGGGTGAACCCCTTAACCTAAAGGGAGAACTTATGAACCTCTGATACAAGGACAGAAGGTAACCCAGACCATAGTGAGAGGGCTGTAAAGGCTGAAGAGACAGTTCACAGAATCTGAAACAGAAGGGTGAATCAAGCCTGAGCAGATGGCATAGAAAGGAGAGGCTTCTTGTGTTGGGATGCATTTGTGTCAAGACTTGTTAAACTACACCCAAAGGGAGACAGTTTCGGAATTTGTCATTTTGCACGCAGTTCCCCCTAATGGAAAACTAAGGCAACTGCAACACTCTGATGACAGGAATAGAAGCAACCCTTTCACAACCACTAAAACCCAAAATCTGATCATTAAGAACGAGTGTTCAGAAACAGGGTTTGGCCTGGTGGCAGTGCTACCATCACCCTTTGTAAGAATTCCGGCTTAGATAAATGATTAAGACAGACTTGGACGAACTACAACTGATAGTTATGTGCCCATTAAGCATGCCTGCTAACTCTTTCAAGGCATAGCTCATACGAGAAGGAAGAATTTGAAAGAACAAAGCAAAAATAAGTATTTTGACCAAGTTTAAGTGGTGATAATCTCATTTTTTTCTGTGGTGATTTGCTGAAACTGTTTTCCTGTTACTAGTCAGCAGCACGTGATCTTAGGTTTCCAAGGTATTCTGGGTGAAAAGCCAGCAAAGCACACAAATCCAGCTGACAAGAAACATTTTCTGGCTCTGATCTGAATATTATTTAGCGTTATAATCAAATCTTAAAAGGATGTAAAATTATATATACACTCAAGCCTGGAGTATCAGAAATAGGGGCAAATGAAGGAGAAAGCATCGGCAAGTGAGATGACGGCATTTTAAAAAAATCCCCCAAATAGAGATGTTGGATTTTTTTTTTCCAATGTCCAAAGTGCCCCACATTCTTATCATATGTTAAATAATTGTTATGGTTTATGGCAGAAGTCCTACTCCAATGGAGTTTAACCATTTACTTAATTGGCAGCATCACCCAATTCCAAACCCTCCCCCCGCCACCCATTTTAAGAGACTGAATGGCACTTACATCCAAAGCACACTCGTAAATGGTGTCATCCAGCAAGGAAACCTTGCAGTACATATTTCTGTGTCTTCTTACTGATTTCTGGGTGGCTTTTAATTCTTGGTCTGCTTTTGTCTCAGGGTTCTCTCTTTTCAACTCTGCTTTGGAACGCTCTTCCTGCACTCCGTCTCCTTCCTTAATCTCAAGGTCTCTGCTCTCTGGGTCTTGATCTTCTCTCCTGTCCTCCTGAGCAGGCTGAAATCCCACAACACCATATTTATTACTTACATGCTTCAAACAAGTAGTGTCACACAGCATAAATGTACTGTAGGTGATTAAATCCCATTAGAGATCAAAGTGGGCCACCTCACAGTGGCTCAGCGACCTCGAGTTTTTCTCTGGTGCTGTATCTTGTGCTCTAAAGTCTACAATTTCTTTTTCTAAACTACAATGAGAAGGGCTAGAGATGAAGATCATTTAAATGTAAACCAATGCAGTGATGTCTGCCCAAGTCTGCAAAGAATCTGAAGTGTATGTTAATTCTGAAGTCTAATGAAAATTTAAATCAGTCTTATTAGCTATTAGTTTATCAAAGCATGTCAGAAGGGACAGGGTTGATTATATTATGAAGACCTGTTCAATCTACTGTTAGTGGCATCTCATTTTAGATTGGAGACACATTTTTCCAATCTGACCCCTCAATCTTTCAGGCAAAATGCTCAGCTAATCCATAAAAACAAGCAATTTCCTAGAATTGTTTCATTGTAAAACAGTCCTTTCTACATTTCCATTGAAGCCCTGAGAATGTGTCTCAGTTTTCATCACAATAAACCTACCCACATAATGCAGAATTTAATTTTGGGATCCAACATTCTAATCAGTCTTCCTGTGTTATGAGTGATAGTAAAAATGGAAGACGGCCTTCATGCCATTGTGCCAACGCATGCTTTAGTATCTGCAATTATTTAAATTTGATCAATGTTCACAGACTGCTGCTTTCTGCTATGACAGAGATAGGATAATCAGATAGAGAATCGGACGGCTTTGGACACAAATGCTGGTTCAGAGGCTTTACAACAGGACACTGCACGTAAATGGTTTCACAGTAGAAATATCTGTTAAGAGTCAGGATTTAAAAAGGACATTAATACTAATTTTAAACATTATAGTCAAAATTAGCTTGTATGCACTGACCGTTTGTGGGGCTTGTTTTTGCACAAGTTCACATACACTCAGTGTACCAAATGCCTACAATTTTATTGCAAACCTCACGCACAGTATTTGTTTTGCTTAAAGGCCCAGCTCCTGGAGTCAAGTGGTTACATAAAAATCTCAGTTCGTATTTTCAAGCTTCTCTCTGCAAACATGAGGGATAGAAACTTTTTTTAAAAACTAAAGCAGTGTGTATTGTAAAGGCTCAGAAACCAAAAGGCAAATAAGAACCCCCACAATTATTATTTTTTACTCATGATTTTTGGGAGCCTAACTCATGATTTCTGAATGTTTGGTTTGGCAATGCTATACAATTTAAAGTGGAAATTTCATAAAGTCCTCAAGTTAAAAGAAACTACAGTGACTCCTCGCTTAACGTTGTAGTTATGTTACTAAAAATTGCTACTTTAAATGAAACAATGTTAAGCGAATCCAATTTCCCCATAGGAATTAATATACATGGGGGGGTTGGTTCCAGGAACATTTTTTTCGCCAGACAAAAGTCAGTGTCTCTCTCTCTCGATATAGATATACACACAGATTTTATATTTTATACTGTGTGTGTGTGTGTGTGTGTGTGTGTGTGTGTGTGTGTGTATCAGCAAGTTGAGACAGCAGCAGCTGCCAGCTAACTCCCTCCATCCTGAGCCCTGTCGTGTGTCCCCCACACACACTCACTCTGTGAAGGTGAGGTACAGGATCGGGGGACCAGAGCAGGGGGAGGGGGTCACCCTGACATTAGCACCCCTCTCCCGCCCCCCTCTGCACAGCAAGCAGGAGGCTCCCGGGAGCAGCTCCAAGGCAGAGGGCAGGAGCAGCACATGGCAGTGGGGGGGAGGGACAGCAGAACTGCCCAGCAATTGATAGCCTGCTGCACAGGGAACTTCGGGGAGCTGATAGGGGGGCTGCCGCCGGTGCACCCTGGTTCCAAGCCCCCACCAGCTAGTTCCAACAGGCTGCTCTTCCTGCAAGCAGTGGACAAAGCAGGCGGCTGCCAAACATCATTTAAAGGGAACATTGCACAACTTTAAAGGAGCATGTTCTCTAATTGATCAGCAACGTAACAACGTTAACTGGGACGACATTAAGTGAGGAGTTACTGTAGCTGTAAGCTTCCTATTTACACCACTGACAAGCAGCACTAGTCTGTCCACTAGATATCACTGCCTCCAGCACACTGGGCTGGGAACTAAGGGGCCTGGATTCTATTCCCGGCTCTATATACACTTCCTTGGGTGAGATACCCAGGGTAAATTATTCACAAACAGCCATCAGCTTTAGGTATCCAACTCGAAACAACCTGGACCTGACTGACTCTTTCAAATGCTGAGCAACCACAATGCCAGCTGAACTCGAGTTGCAGATACTTAGCACTTCTGGTAGGAAAGAAAAAGAAAGAAGCCCATTGTATTTCATGTCCAGTAGCCAAGAGGTGATGTACCTAAAACCACAGGCCACTTTTGAACATTTGGCTATTAACATTCTGTGCCTCAGTTTCCCATCAGTAAAACGGGGATAATACCTACCTTTTAAAGCTCCGAGGTCTATGCATTTAAGGCTAGGATTTTTAAGGCGCCTAAGGGAACCACAAAATGACTAGAAGTTGGACACAAAGTCCTTAGGCTCTCTTTAAATCCCCAGTATATATGCTCAAAGTGATTAATATAAGTACGTGCGGGGCCACAGAAAAAACAGGGCCTAACACACTGGTGGGAGAAAGATGTAAACGGAACTGAGGTCCATGAGGTTCTGAACTGTCACTTGTGTTGCTTGCACTTAAATCTGTTTTGCTGTTTGTTTTCTGCTGAACACAGCTGTAATTTCCATGATGTGTTTCCTATTGACTTTTCTTCTACCCATAGTGTACATATCAGAATATTTAAAAATGAGCATTAAAAGTAACTTTCATAGAGTATAATCCGAGTTCTAATCCCGACTGACAAATTTCCTTGCCTCAGAGGAATATTTTTTTAAGTGTTTTAGGAGTTTTTGTTAGTGTTTATATAATGCTTTGAAGATTAACCTTATTATGATTAAAACAGTAGGAATAAGTATTAGACAGCAGATCACACTGCAGAATACAAAAACGTAAGAGCAGGAAGTGTCAGATGTAGCATAATGTCTGTCAAATACTATCAAAGGGGTAGCCATGTTAGTCTGGATCTGTAAAAGCAGCAAAGAGTCCTGTGGCACCTTATAGACTAACAGACGTGTAGGAGCATGAGCTTTCGTGGGTGAATACCCACTTCTTCGGATGCACCC